TCAAGAAAAAATACGACGAGCTTATAGGGCGTAATGCTTCTTACTCGACGCCTGATTTTAATATCGAGAGGCCATTACTTTGACATTATGAAACATAATGTCAGGTAAGAAGAAAGAAGGAGAGAGATAAAGAGACAGTGAGTAATAAGGCTGTGCGGAGTGTTTTATGGAAAAAATATATTATTTAGGTTTCTCAAATGCGCACTATAGCTCGTTGCCACTGCTGTACACTTTTTGATTTTAACGTACTGTGCGTGCAGTTTATTCCTCTCTACTTTAAAATTAAATTGAAAGAGCTAAAATTCAATATCCCTTTGCCTATTTTCTTATAACGGTACTTTCTGATGCGAAACTTGATGAAAAAAATGCTCAGAAAAACTTAATAATCGTAATGGTATATATAAAATATTAAAAATAAATAGAACAATCAAAAAAGTTGTTATCGTGTGCATTGACAAAGTATCCATGACCAAGCGTCAGAATTATTGATGTAATATTTTTCTTGATATGTGATGCGGAAATCTTCTTTGAAAAATGGCGTTGATCGTTATTAATTTTTAAAAAGCATAGAGCCCCACGCTATACATTAATTAATAGGAAAGCTGTACTATCATATGAAGCTTGTGGCCCTCCAGATACATAAACTTTCATTGATTTTCTTTAAAAGTAATAATCTTGAAAAAACTTTTACGAACTCTTCAAACGGAATTTCTTGCTTTAAATAAATATTTTATATTATATGTTTTGAACCTCTCTCGAGTCATCAGTCAGTAGCTGAGAAAAAAATACTATCTCAATAACTGATATCAAAAGTATAATTTTCTGCGTTATAATAAAAAGTTCATTGATTGGAAAGGTGATTTATGAAATTTATATTAGTTTATAACTTCGGATGGATAAATACCATCAACAAATTTAAAAAATACTTTAAAAAATATTATAAAGATTTCCTTAATTTATGCAAATACTTGTTCTCGTTACCATAACCATTTTTTGCACGTTTCCGTTATAAAAACTTTGCATTATCTTTCTCAAACTTTGAAATATCATATTTAAGAATTATAACAAACATAAAAAATCACCCTTCATCGATGAGTTACCAGTTATAAATGGAACTTAATATTAAAATAAAATATAAAACAATAATTTCACAAATAAAAATTACGATTGGGGATAGCAAAATTTATTACAAAAACTATCCCTCTGCTAAATAGAAAAAATAGCCAGCATACCAAGAAGCCAACTTTCAATGGATATTACGATAGTTTTTTCATGAATATTTTTAATATTTGCTGGACTATTCTCTCCGTGTAAATATAAAATTAATCATTTTATAGCTCTCCCTATCACGCATATACACGCAGACATTATTTTCTTATCTATCCTTGCATTACTGAGCATCGTCTTTGTCGTCTGGCATGTAGATAATGTAAGCCATTGGGCTTGCAACGTCGCTTCAAAAAGCTCGCTCAATATCACTACGATTTTCCTTTTTTCTCGCTCAGCAACATTGACAACAATGCCGTATTATTATAGTATCGGAAATATAACTGTTGTGACGTCGGCAACAGCGACAAGCTCGGGTAAATAGAGAATAGGCCCGTATAGATGTTGTTTCAATGGTACCGATGATGATACTTTGATCGTCAAAAGCTGGTCCAAGATATGGCATGGTTTGGTAAATGGTTAAGCATGCAAATATTGATAAACACGGACTTTGAAGAGATTACTGCAATGGGTTCGTTTTTAATGCGTTCGATAACAAAAATTGATTAACGTTGATTCATGTTGGTACTACAAATTGTATTTGTAATGAATTTGCACCTGCATAAATATGATTTGAATAGATGAGGAGCAGTATGTAATTAAGTTATAATGGTATCACCGAGTTGGATTAACCTGTCTTGTCTTAAATTCTAGATAAATAATTATTTATCAGTAACCAGTTTGTTATTCATAGAGTATTGTAAAATAAAATCGAAATTATTAACCACATAAGACTACCGGGAATCTAGAGGTTCAAAGGCGAATCTTCTCTGCGAAAGGTTAAAGTGGAACATTTGCTCGTCTTCGATTGAAATTATAATACATGGCGCAGCGCGTCAATAAAAGCAATTTAGCTTAAACGAAGCAGTTTTTGTTTTGTCCCATCGAAGACGAGCAATTGAGACAAAGCAAGCGAGGGCTGGTATACATAATATTATACGTAGCGGAGCGGCAACTACATCGTCATAGCTACAATGCATGCACGTGAGAGTGTTTGTGTGTGCAGAGAGCGAGAGAGAAGGAGGGAAAGCGTTGCACTCGCGTAACTCGCAATTTCGTCGATCTAGAGCTGTTTACGTAAACACCTTTAGCTGTAGCTACAGGAGCAGCAGCAGCAGCAGCGGCGGCAGCGGCGCGCTGCAATTAGTTCGTCGCTGGCATCGTGTATTCACTTTATAGGTGGCTCTGCGTGGGTACGCGTATGCGCTCACGTTTTCTCTCTCGCTCGAATTTATATATATACAAGAGAGGGAGAGAACGCTTGGCCACAAAATATGCAAATCAACGATAGACGAATACTTTGAATAACAGCCGCTCCCTTTGCCTCTCTCGTCACACATACACGCATAGCGAATCCCTTTTGATGGAATAAAACATTGCGTGCGTGTCATTGCTGCCTAGTTACCTGCGCCGACGGATAATACGTAGACGCGCGCGCTGCAGCTCGTCCTCGCGCTCGTCGATTCGACTCTATTTACGCACCCTTCGAAAATTATTATTTTTACTTTTATGATGTACGTAGCGAGGCCAACAGCCGACGGCCATGTTACTTTCGGGCAGCTCTGTCAATAATAAATTAGCATTTTGTGCCGTCAAGAGTCCGGCCCTACCTGCTATCTTTAATTTGCATGATTTATCAGCGCTCGGGAGAGCGCGCGCATCTTCCATTATACGCCAAGTATGCAAAGTATTTTTTCGCTAATTCAATACTGTTGTTTTATAAAAGACTCCCCCGGTATGTATACAGATTTTAATTATTCCATGAACCGTTCGATTGAAAATTGATAATATTTTTACGAAGATATTTGCTGTTAATTTGAACTCTTTTATATAACTATCGTATAGAAGATTTATATGAATTCCAATAAATAACTGCATTAAATCGGACTTAATTCTGCTCAATATCGTCGAAAAATTGCGCTATAATTGCTCCTCTGTATGGAGGGAAAAAAAGTGCAGTCTTTCCGACGTCTTTATATACCGAAGGTTCGATTGTTGTAGCATAAATACAGCAGCACGTATGGCGCTGTAAGTTCAAAGCTGAGTTATCGATTTTCGGAATTTTCCGCAGAGAACAGAAATGCTGCTCCACATCATTGTGCGCCCGTACAGTAATATATCTATGTACACAGAAGTTCGCCAACTATGCGTTTGGTACGCGAGAGCGCGACAGGGTGATTAAGCTATTTGAGGGCGGCCGATGCGGCGGCGATTATGTGAGCGCGAGAGCTCGGCACTGCCCTATCTTTCATAGAGCGCGCGCACTTATGGCATACATGACACGTATATGGCCGCCTATATATAGTTCTTCGTATCGATGTAGTGCAGCAGCAGCACAGAGAGCGTTTAATTATGTCCCGAAAGGTGTTTTGATTGAATTGATATATTGGATTTGTCAACGACCGTTATGGTCGTTTTAGAATTATCAAGGAGATAGATGTACCGCCCTTATACTTTTATTGATGAACTTATTTTAGTGGTTGGCGAAAAAAATCAGATCACGCTTTGCAACCTATACGTGTTTTGCATTTTATTCCATTACGATTTGCAAATGAAATTAATGGCCAAGTGCGTAACGCATTGCTTCCTTTTTTAATCGATTTTAATGTACACACATAAATTATGTATTTTATCGTTAACGATAATAAAGTGAATGCGTGTAAATTATAACATACGTTTACTTTTAATCAACATGCTTTTTCCGTGAAAATTATTTTTAATTTGAAGAAAAAGAGCGTGGAAAAAATATGAAATCGTATTGTTTTAGTGCTCGATCTGTTTCACAAATTACTAAGACAAACTAAATTTTCATTAAAAAAAAAAGAAAAAAACATCTCTCCTATGCCAGTTACACGCGGAAAATCTGCTGTCGATTGAAAACAGACATTTCAAAGTTTCTCTGAATATTCAACGTTCCACCTCGATTCGGACCGAAATCTTCGACTAACATAGGAACAAGGTCGTGTTGATTTTTCGAGGAAACCCGGAGTTTTGATTTCCCTCCAGGTGGTATATGTTTTTTTAATTCGCTCCAATGCACTAATCTATATGTAGGTATAATAGATACTTTATAAATAACCTGATGCAACTTAAACGAAATATAGTTTCAATAAGCTATGTTAATTTGAGATTATTCATTATTAATAGATTTTTGCAATTCTGTACTAAAAAAAATTATTAATGATAATTATAAAAAAATTATATGATTATCAAAATTAAAATTTTCACTATTTTATTATTAGATATGAAATTTACGACTTGAAAAAAATTACTATTAATACATTTCCTTGGCAATCAGTGATAGAATTGAAATATTTTTTATCGTAATTATAAAAATGATTTAACCCCGTTGATTACTTTAAAAAGTATATATTAAGAAAAAAATTGAAGGATTAAAAGAATCATTATAAAATTATAATTGAATGCATCAAATAAATGAGTTGAATAAGACCGTTGACTCATTTCATTAATCAACGTATAAGGCAAGTTGAAGAAGCGATTCTCCCTGGGGCATATTTTAATTCTCCTATTTCGATGCGAATGTCTTTTAGCTAATGAAGTCTATCTGTTGTGTGCTCTCCCTTTTCAGCTTGGGTATTTGCAGAAATAAAAAAAACTACACGAGGGTATATTCTATAGTATTACGAAGGCTCGGCTTATTTGTCACGAAAAGGGGCATGTTTGAGTTGGGTACGTTAACTGATGGAAGTTTTAAACGTATCATAGAACATTACCTTATAATTTTTTGAATATTCTGCTTGTTCCTGGAACTTGGATCGCTAAAAAAGAGATAAAATAACTATTATTTTCAAAGTGGAAAATCACAGATTCTTCTTGAAATAATTATGCAAAGTAGATTTATGGAAGTGAGTTTTGCCGTACATGAGAGAGTTAGAAAACAGGATCGGCACACATACCCACACGGTTACTTATAAATATAAAATTTTGTCGGAGACGACTCGATGAATCGATTATAATTGTACTTGCGGGCTCGTCGAATTCGCAACTAAGAGCAAATTTCAATCTGGCCCGCACAGCTCTTCCGCTGGAAACGCGAGAATAGACGCCGAGCACAGCTGCCTCTCATCGGTTTTTATCATTATTATTTATGTGCAGAGGACGAGAGGAGCGAGCAACTGCAGAGCGCGCAGTGAACAGCAGCAGAGGTCCGTGGTAGCGGAAGAGAGCGTGTACGAGAGCTCGGCGAGGCCGAGGCATGGCCAGAGCGCGCATTATCAGTCAGTCATAATTAACGTGACGCGTTGATTCAGAGGGCCGAGAGCTTGCGAACTCGTGACTTCTTCTCCCGCAGCGCAGCGCAGCATATCATACCGTAACATTTATACGCGCTCCGCTATGTGATTGTACTACTGCGCTGCACACCACGAAGGACATCATTTACGCCCTCCGCCATGCTCGCTCGTAATTCCCTTTACACGTACCGAGGACATACGACTGTGCACCCACGTTGTCTGCTGTATATAGTCGTTAGGTGTGTGTGTGTGCAGGGCCGCCATGCGTGAAGGCTTAAAAAATAGTGAAAAAGCTTATGACGTTCGGTAAATGCGATATTGGACGAGCTAATCGAGGGAGGGCTTCGAGTTGACCTTTTTTCCATTCATCGTAAAAGCATTATTATGCCCCAGCAAAGAAATCTCCTATAAACGCTCTCAATGTGTAGGCAAATTAAACGCTTATTATATTTTCCTGGTGCTTCGTATACGAGAGAGAGGACTAGAGGGTCAATGTATTGGGTAGCATCGATGTAGCAAGGAACGTGAGACGCCTCCACAATTCCGCACGTGGACGATTTCCAAGCCGTGGCTACAGCGCTATATAGGCGGGTATAATGCAATTAACGCTTATCGAAACGCCGAAGCGTATAACGCGGCGCATGCACCCACGTATGAGCGCTTCACAGAGCCGCCGGTGCATCGCTGCGAGACTGACCTCTGCCCGTGCCATGGCTAGACCGAGTCAGCTGCGTACAGGGGGCTGTATGTTCGTGGCTGTATCCTCGCCTAGCCTCGCGCGCGCGGTATAAACTTTTCGACCATTTTGCCCAGGCCATCTATAGTTATGCCAAGTTGAAAAGTAAAAAATAATACGGCATAATTAAAATGTTCCTCCGTGTGTACGAAATAATTGCGCTCAGCATTCTTCGAATCAACCATCGGGGGATGCTGCTTTTTCATGAGTTTTCACTTATTATGCACTTGTATGAGTTTATAATACTTTATAATAACGAGGCAGCGCATGCCGAGTCCGCGCGGTGATCCTCGAATTAATATTGCAGACTTAATTTTGCTCCGCGGACGCGTACATATTGCAACGCGCAAAGCTCTAGATTCGCGCGTATTTATGTACCCTCCCTACACAACACTCGCGTGAGTTCTGTTAATCGCTTTTTTTTCGTTTGCTTTTTATCGTAGTTTTTACACTCTCTTGGGCCAGGCAGCAGAACCCGAGCTCGCAGTGCGATTTGTCTCGCTCGCGCACGCAGCGCCGCTACACCTCTACTGCCTCCTGCTCCCTTTTTTCCCTGAAACATGTTTTTGCGCAGAACCTGGTCTACATACAGGTGAAAGGGAGTATCGTACGGGAAATTACTTGTTTTTTTTTGCGCTCGAGTGTGACGTTATTTTTATTTTAAAAAATTTTTTTTTTTCTTTATTTTTTTAATTTTTTTAATCCAACCAGAACTTGTACGTAGACTTTTTGATGCCCAACGAGTAAAAGATGTTTCTCATTCAATTTTTCGTATAATTACAAACTCTAATTTTTTATTCATTGATAACAGCATTCTAAAAATTGACTTTATAATTAGCAATAAAATAATGCAAATCGAAAATACAAAAGATAACGAAAAAATTAAGTTTTTAACTGAATTGGCTTATGAAGAAATTGGTTACAATTTATTTTCCAGATGTTTTTGATGATGTGAAAATTCGATTCCTCACATTTGCAAACAAAACAAAATATTTCATGAAAATCCTACTGTATATAAAACGGCGAAGTGTATAATCGAATGAATTCATTATATTGAAATGAATGTTTGTATTTTGTTTCACACTGATTATAATGAAAATTTACATGAAGCACAAGGGCAAATTATTAGTACGATAATTTTCCTCTCAAAATACGTACCAAACATCTAATATCATCATAATTTTCTTTACGAAAACGCATCAAACATAAGTTTAAAAAAGTAATAAGCTAGCTATCATCAATGAGTGAATAAGAAAAAATATATGTACGACTAAAAATATTTGCAAATAAGAGTCATCTAAAAACAAGGTGTTATACATTACTCACATACTCGTTTGCGATGTACAAAACATATCATGAGAAATAAAGACGAGGGACACAGAAAAAAAGTGAGAGCGAGAGAATAACCCAACTATGCTAACTGCCTGCTTAAGGTTATACGTCTCCTCGAGGTTTTTCGAATACTCGAGAAAGAAAAAGTACGTAAAACGCTCAGGAGTTAGAGCAGTAACATTTAAAGACACACTCGTTGTCGTGGCATAGTTCAAGTGCAGAAAGTCACTTTTTCTCGCATGAGAGATAGCGTTTTCTTTTCTATTTTTTTTTCCATTTTTGACTACAAAGATGACGAAAGCCGGTGGAAGTCTACGTGCTTTTTGCGAGAAACTCGCACGGAACCAGAACTCGAGAAATGCCGAGTTGAAATTTCAACAACTGCGTTTTAATTATTCATAAAAATATGATAAGTATTTACATAGCTAGTAAATAAAGCCGAATGATTTCATGACGCTCATATGGAGGATGCGGTAGATGGTAAGACCGCTCGAGGATCCATTATGCCTGCATAAGTACGCATTAATATGACAAACTTTTCATCTCTGTATATTAAAGGCAAACTGCAGCAAGTGATCCATTTTATTTTATACGTGTAAAACCGCCAGATGAGGTTTCCGCGCGTGCACATTGCTATATACATTTCGACCATCGCAGCCACCGCCACACAGAAGAGCACAAGAGAGAAACGAGCGTGGAAGAGAGAGAGAGAGAGAGAAAGTGGAAGCTCTGACATATACGCGAATTACCGGCTGCTCGTAAAAATGATTATTTCGCGCGCCGTAGTCGCTACTATTACTACTACTACTACGCAGTGGCCCCGCAAGTACTTGGCCGGGCGTAGCCGGAAACGTCTTATGGCTCGATTTCCTCGGCCGCGTACAACCGGAAACTTTTATATGTGATCCACTTGTATGGGCTGGCTCGGGCTCGCGCGCCCCCATTGTGCCGATAATAATATATCAATTTCAATGTTTTTCATCAAGCTTCAAAATGTAATTACATCGCGTCTCTCGCGGCTCTCGAGCTCGTTATTACTACAGGTTGCACGTGTCAAATGCCGTTGCAGCGGGGAGTGGCCACAGCCCGTTGGGGCGCCGCTGAATATACTTTTATTTTTTTCCATTTTCCAGTATAACACGTTTTTCATTCGGTGTATTATATGTGAGCACTGCGCACGGCTCCGTGCGTTATATGGCGGGTGTGCAAGAGCGCGTGTTATATAGCCGAGGCAGCGAGTGGCTAAGCCAACAAACACGCGCTGCCGCACAAACGCGCACGCACCGCTGCTTATTATCAATCCATCTGATGAAATTCCATCCCTCTTTTAGTGCAGCAAGGCGTTTTCCGCAAAATCATACGGTCGCTTGGCTGGATCAGCGCGTCGAATCTCGTGTTGATCTCTCGGACACGGTATACGTGTAACGTGCAGCTGCTATCTCGCGAGTTTGCGGTTCTGCAAAGACAAATATGCCGTTTTGCGCTACCTTTTCACGACGTAATACTTTCCCCTCGTAGTTTGTCACGGAATTGATAAATAAACGGATGCACGGTAGTTTGATATTATATGCACGATTCAAAATTTGCCTGTATAGAGCGCATTGAGTGCTGGCGGTTTATACTCGTTTCGCAAAATATTTCGAGGTTCTACTAATGGGGTGAGCTGCAGTCATTTTCGCACTCTAATGCGAGTGCGATTATCTATCGGCGTTTCACGCACGCACCGACGTTTCCTCTCTCTCTCGACGAAATATCCCAGTCAAAAGGCTCAATGTGCGCAGCAACGGTGGAGATAATCTCTGATTAAATTTCAAACGCTGTCCGAAAGCTTCTCGCTCTCTCGGGCGGGCGTCACTTCTCCCAGCCATCACAAGTCGCGCTAGGGTAAACACACATTTATATATAGAGTCAGGGGCGCGTGTGTAGCCAAAGTTCAAACTTGCGGTCGAGTACATCGTGAGGACTTGATATTTTTTTACGTAAGAATAAGGCTGCAGAACACGCCAGGCCGATATCGCGATCCGCTTTTACCTTAATGACGTTTCTCAGATCGTTGCCTGCGACGAACAAGCACTACTTGTATATTAAAGCAAAAAAGAAGGAAAAAAATGTAGCATTAACCGGTGCTCCACTGACGAGCACAGCCGTACACGTAATATATAATTATATCCTCGAGCTGGGCGCGGGTGGGGAGAAAGGCAAGTCGCGCGCTGCAAGCTTAATTCACCTTTTCCAGCGATTAACGGCGTAAATTAAAACGTAGGGTGCGGGGATCTCTCCCTTTCTCTCTCGAGGCTGGCACATGCACCTATAGAGTGGCCTATGTGCAGCGGAGCTGCGTACGTAGCCTAGCCTTGCGCGCCGCCTTCTTTATCTCTCTAATCGTATCAATATATTACGGTATAAAAAGCTGCTGCCGCTACTGCAGGAGGCGGCTATAGCCTCCTTCCCTGCCTCC